CTGGTACGCTGGAAACCTTCTTGTAAACAACGGAAACACGCGACGCACTCACTAGTCAAACCGACGACGAAGTGGGAAGGCTACGTGGCATACGACGACAACGTTCATTTGCCTTACCGGCGGGATCACGATGCTGAATGCTGCCGTTAGTGTTATCGCTAATGAACTCGAAACTGAGCAAAAAGTTCGATCGGCGATTTAAACGTCGCCGCCCGTATCTTTAGTCACGGACGTTCGCGAAACAAAGACGGGCAGAGCAATTACGCTGCTGCTAGTGCGAGGCCGACGGCCCCCTCTACACATCCTGCTGCCGACACGCATATCACTTGACGGCGTTATTATTTCGCTAAATACAGTGACGCTTAATCGCGCAATATCGTGATGAGCGGGGCGGCCGGGTTCGAGAGCGTTTTATATGCTGCACATATGTTTGCGTTGCAGTGTGTTGTGTGTTGGTGTCAGTGTAGTGTGTGTGTGTGTGATGTGTGTTGTGTGTGTGTGTGTGTGGTGCTGTGTGTGTCGTGTGTTGTATGTGGGAGTTGCCGTGTGTGTGCGTATGTCGCTGTGTGTTTCGGTGTGTGTGGCTGTGCTGTGCGTGCGTGCGCGCGATGTGTGTGCCGCTACTCTACTCTTCTAATCGCAATTTAACTGTGTAGGCATTCTCATACCTGGGAGCCACAGCGAACCTGCCTAAACTTACATACTATTGCGCTTAATGCGAACCTGGAGTAGGTGGATCATTCGTTCGAATATTTTGCAAGCGGTATTGTGGTTCCGGTGAGCGGTGTGTGCGCGTGGTTGGTAGGAACGCATCATAGAGAGTATAAAAGAAATTGTTGGAAAGTTTCGACGGAAAATCGATTGGGTTCTGTGGAGGCATGCCAGGCTTGGCTGCTTGCCGAGCGTTGTTGCCACTGTAGTGACTACTATATATATATACGCTGCTCAACTCGATATAAGTGCCGGAACGACGAGAGCTCTCTCGATGCCAACAATAAAGGTTGAGGTGATTCTTGACTGTAGGTCAAATACACAGCCGCCTGACCACAGGCACAGGCGCGGACGGATGTACGCGCACGCCAGTTACGCTCCCCACCCACACAACGCACACACGCACAGCCGCACGCCACGCACGCAACACACACAACGGCTGCCACGCGCACGGCAGCGCGGCCACCGCCCGCACGCACCACACATATCAGTTTTGTCAATAAATTTATTTAAACCATAATCAGCATTGCATCAGCTGTGACGGATAAAGCAAATGAGATTTTTCAGGCCTTAATTGCCATGCATTTCATTAGAGGACATACGCAATTACGCGTACTCCACGACAAAACGTGCACGAATAACAACAGAGATTGATTTCGTCAAAAATGCCAAACATTTATTTGAGTTCATGCTGTAAAAACCACCAGAACAACGTAACAGACTTACTATGCTTGTTTCATAATCAAGATGCTCGAACAACTATTTAACAAGAGTGTACACACCCTCAATATAATCGAAATATCATCATTTCCGGCAAACATCGAAACTGAACGGAATCTTAAAACGAAAGTTACGGTACATAATTTTCAAACAATATATACTCTACCCGCATGTATAACTCTAGTATATCAGGTAGGCCCTCTTCGGTGATGCGACGTCATGAATACAGCGAGATCGGGCTAGAAAAATCTCAAAAAATAAACATACATGTGAAATTAGCAATTATACACGTAAAACGTACCCAGTATCTATGCTTCTGAGAGGCAGAACATCTATATATAATGGTTTGGCTGGTTCAAACAAGTCCCGATAAAGAGATTACGCGTTATGAATTCTGATTCGCCCCTAGCCTTGCCATAGCTGTTTTCTACATCATAGCGTAGAAATCGCGAAGGCGAAACGATGACGTCGCGCATCGTTCCCAGCTGATGTTGCTATTAGATATCATCGTATAGTAATAGTCACACGGATTTAGCACAAGCCGTTCACGCTCCTGGATTTAATATATTTATGATCTATGCGTCGTTGGTCGCAATGCGCTGCATACAAGCGGTAGACTGCCTACAGTAATAACTGATTACAGCATACGCACGATTTGCGGATCTCGCGTATTTTTAATGAAGCTATTACCGTCTAGTACGTGCGTCCTAAGAAATAATCTTGCTGCCTGTTGCTCTTAGCTCTACAGCTACATTTACTGACATTTCGTTGCCCAGAACTATGCTTCAACTGCTTACAGTAACATGTATCTATCTACAGGACACTGACAATGCTACATCTTCTATCGTGAACCAACGCGCATGTCGAATCTTGGAAAATTAGGAGGTCTGCGTTTTTGGCACCCACTTCTGCACTCGAATGCCTTACTTACACGGTTGCTAGCAAACTGGCTGCTTTCGGCATCTCGACGTTTTCAATTCCGCCATCTTGCACTGCGTTTTAAAAATGCTGTTGTATCACGCGCTTAACATAAATCACAATGGTTCCTGTACTCAAATGAGAAGTGCATGGAACGATGTGTACGTTTCGCACCACTGAATCAATATCATACACGGAGTAGTAAACGACTTGGTTATATACGTTAATACGAGTATACATTACAGTCACTGCAGTAATTTTATTTATCATAATGGCATAGCTATCGACAATGGGTATGTAGAAGACCTGACGACAGCGTAATATAATATTGAGTATATGGTAATGAACCTGTCGGGCGAAGCAGGTACTAGAAAAAGTTTCGATGTTATATGTAATATGCTAGTGCGTTACGAACCGACAAATACACAATTGCGCTCATTAATTATCTGCCCTGATTAATAAAAACCGGGCACTTTGCAGCCGGGCTTTATATATTTACCGATGATTGGTAGTCCATATCGCGGACGTCACTACGGAAACAGAAGTTAATTAATTTCATATTTTTCTTTAGAATCCTCTTATCGCTTCAGTTGCGCCTATCGCATAGTCTACATTCCGTAAATAGTTGACATCATCTACTGTCTTGCCAGACGATGCGTCATGCCGAAGAGGCGTTTCGCGAATGATATTCTGCCAGTTTAAGTAAAGCCCTAGATTTATGTTATATTTAAAAGCAGCGCAGTCATTTCTTCGTCCGCTGAAGCGGATGTAGAGGTAATCTGTGCTTCTTCACCCACCAGTCGCTCGCTTCGCCACATTAACCGTAGAGACACAGACAGAGTACATTCATCATCAAACATATCACCGTTAATTATATCCGGCGATACAGGAAATCGCGACTATTCCTTACTTTGAATAGGCACGCCAAACGCTGAACAACACGTTACGCGTATAAGCATATATCATGTATGTCGAACAACAACGACACGACGCATAGCCTCCGCCCCTATCCGTGACGTCATGCGAACGGATGGGGCGCACCTAGGCAATTAGTGCTAATCACGAGGCGGGATCTCGTCCAACGAACATTATAGACTATTTTGAATTTTTTAATCGATAATCAATAATGTGAATAATATTTGACAAAACAGAAAAACGTCTCGGATTATAATAAGCGTAAATGTCATTCTAGCTGCTCTCGCTCGAGCATTCGGCAGAACCAACACCACTCTGTACGTGCACCCTTCCTTTTCGAACTTTGTTTGTTCGTTCACCTATATACTGCGACCCTTCGTACGGCCTGTTTCCTTCGCCATTAAGGGACTATCTTAACCTAGTGGTGTAGTGTCGTGTGTCGGTGTGTGGTGTGTGTGTGTGCTGTGTGATGTGTGATGAGCGTGTGTGATGTGTGCTGTGTAATGTGATGTGTGTGTGTGTGTGTGGGTGTTGGTGTGTGTGTGCGTTGTCGTGTTGTGTGTGTGTATGTTGTGTGCGTGCGTACGTGTGTGTATGCTGTGTGTGAGTGTGTGTGGTGTGTGTGGGAGTCAGATGTGTGTGGTGTGTGTGTGTATGTGTATATTAACCGGTCAGCCCACTGATCCCCCCACGTATCTCCTCCCTCCCCCTCCCCTACACCTCCGCCCACACACTCCTACCTACTCGCGCCCCAGCTATAATCTTGCACACCTCCATACACGACATTGCGCCGTAAGGCCGTCACGTCCGCGGCGCGCTACACACTACCAAGGCCACTGTCGTGATCAGTGCCAATATAACAGCGCCTCTCCATTCGTCTCATCTCTTCATCTCTTCAATTTGACTACGCCTGGAAACAGCGCATGTTCTACTCCTAGCACAGGAGGGCGCACACGGTGTAACAGCGCATCCTTCACACGGGCGGTGTATGCGCGCTTCGGTCGGTCGGGGTCGCGGTGCGGGCGGAGCTCGTTTCTGCTTCCGGGCGTGATCGACCGCTCACTGTTTCGAGCGATGACGTCACAGTTTAATAGCCGGTGACGTCACTATTTTGACAGGGGGACCGCACGTATCGGCACGCCCGAGTATATACACGTTATACACGATGAACAAGCCAGCATTGCCGCGTGTTTCTGCAGCGTATTGACGCGCTGTCAGTGGCTAATTGCAGCTGTCACTGACTGCAGCCAGTATATATAAGCTCTGCAACGGTAACGCTCACCGAGGGTCGGGCGAGGGGGGGAAGCGCGGGGTCACAGACGTGATTTTCACATTGCTGACCCTGCTGTGTTGGTTGCTGCTGTTGTTGCCGTCGTCGTCGCCGCACCGTCGCTGCTGCTGCTGTTGTTACTGCTGCCGCCACCGCCGCAGCCGCTGCTGCTAAGTTTCTTGCTGGTGGTGCTCGCTAATGCGTGTACTGCATGCTAGACTGTACTTACCGCTGCTCTACTGACTGCGCTGCTTTCTGCCTGGGGCGGTGCGCGTGCGTGTGCTGCTGCTGCTGCTGCTGCTACTGGCCTACAGCAGAGCGAGTTCCTGATTGTAACACGACCCTTCACCTGTCTGTCTCAGGTGGGACTGTTGCGCACGTCTATTCGGTTGGCTTACTGACCAACGCTAGGGTTGGCGTGCTGCAGGCGCGACACGCACCTATGCCGCGCGCCGACGTCGTCGGGTCATTCCTGCTCTATCGGCGAATGACGCGATCCTGGCGGCGACGGCGTCGGGCTCGTCTTCTGAAAGTTCAGCCGCGGCATTTCGGGGCTGGGCGACATGCGCGGGCTGGCGTTGCAGCCCGAGCTCGCCGTGCTGCTCTGGCGCGGGAACTGATGCTGCTGCAGACTGCTCTGGCGTGGCAACGCTTCCTTATGGAGTAAGTTCTGCGTCTCGGGTAGCGTTAGCGACGCTTGCCGCGGCACGAACGGCCCGCGGTTGTTCTGACGCTTATACGGACCCTGCTGCGGCTGCTGCTGCTGCTGCAGCTGCTGCTGTTGCTGCTGCTGCTGCTGTTGTAACTGTCGCGCTATCTGCACGGGTAGGCATTCGAGTTTGTCCTGTAGATCGACGACGCTTTTCTCCATGCGGTCTATTCTGTCGGTGAGCAGGTTTCCCTGGTTGTACATGTCGGCGACCATCTCATAGACGGACACTTGCGTCTGCAAAGAGCGAAGAGGAAACCCATGCACGCACTCGCATATGAAATTCTGTCGGTGCGGGAGGTTACGCGTACGTATATCGTTATATCGCGTGGTTTGTTTTTATGTCGTATTTGCCGATCTGCCAGTCTCGAGTTTTTTCCCCCCGAAACCATTTCTCTAATACCGCCGGCAGTTGGAAAGACGGTAAAACGTTGTTGCGAGCGACGAAATGTTGTTATGCTGAGAATTGCAGCGACAACGCGATATCTCACGAATAAATTATTAATAATAATAATAAATTATAAACGAGAGAAGAGAAAACGCAACGTCGGTCTTACGCCACATGGCGGCGAAAAACTTTGTACATGCGCTATTGATACATACACGTGGGTTTTGTAGCAGTCGGCAAATGCCGCTTCAATATTAATCTTTTTTCGTCCTGGAATTTTTCATCGCGACCGTAAAAAATCCAAAAGCAATACACCGATCGATATTTATGATAAAAGGCGCCGGCCTCTAAAAGCCGAGATGCCCACGCGCTCCCGGATATCTGCATGACATTTTGTTCGGCGAGAGCTCGCTATCAATGAGATATCCGAAATGCGAAAATCTAGCCGATGTGATCTTTCGACTATTCATTTCGTATTCGTATAATATTCAATTTACATTTCGGGATATTAGCATAGATCGAGATGTCACCGACTAACCCACGACATGACGCCGTCAGTGACGCAACGAGCTTCGAACGAAATGACAAAAAATAAAAATAAAGATTGACCACTGCAAAACATAGAGCCATAGATAGTGAAAAGCCACATCGTTCATTCTCAGACGTAATGCGGTTAGAAGAGGGCAAATGCAAACTGAAACTCTGCAAAGGAATCCATTGTCATCATCATACATCAAAACTGCAAATGCATTCGAGACAACCTAAAACGGAAAACGTCGCATACGACGCATACATCCATGCGAATTTCATACGAAATCCATACACAAGACGAGAAAAATCAACACGCAGAAACGCAGGCCACATCTCTGGCGAAATCACAGCAACGAAATGAACCCAAAGTCTGTCATCTGCGCATCACCTAAAATCAGTCAACAATGACGCTATTTAAATGGGGAAAAACTCCCCCGGGGGTTTCGATGCAAAAAAACAGTGGTTATCGTGCGCATGCACACACGTACGCTCAGCGCGGACATGCGGCATAACGAACGCACGCAAACGCAACTCTAACAAAAAGCAAACTGTTAGATCACACAAACCAAGAGAGGCCGCGTTAACCCATCCGCCATTCGGTTACTCCGACCCACACGTTAACCCAAAGAGTGCATCGATGGAGATGGAAGTGGGGATTCCAATAAGGCATCACGAAAGGAATTCGATTAGCGAAGGATAAAATGCAGGGTTTGCAGGAGTAATACAATCGTGCTTGTAACAAAAGTAGTGCCATCTCTGTGACGCGATAACTGCCAGGCCTTAACATATATAAATATATATATATATATATATTATATATATATAACACAAAGTATGTGTATAATCTGTCACTCTGAGAGACTTCGTGGAAGAATAGCAAGCGACACAACAGTGGTGCACAAGTCGCCGGCAATCTGAAAGCGAAATTTCTGAAAATGTTATGTTGCACAAAGCGATGTCGTCGTATAGAAAACAGCGGGAACACGAAACACATGAAGGCTCACATAAATATAGAACAGAGATTTCGAGATTTGTTGTTTCTACGAAAAGAAAAGTATTTGCCGAAAGAGATTTTAAGAAAAAAAAAACACCAAGTCAGTGAGGCCATGCGAGCATGAGGGAGAGATATAATTGATCACTGCCGAACGCACGAACGCATGCGCTTCGTGCTCGTAACGACATGCGAGCGAAGGAGATCATTTAAAATGAAGCAATAATGAGGTATACGGCGTAATAAATAGCCTAGCAAAGAAAAGCACGTTCCTAAACGCGAACCCATGTGCAAATGTTCGCCTAAGACAACGGAGGTATAGTTGATGATAAGATATAGACGTCGAAATCTAACTTCATGAGCACAGATATCGACGATCGGGGGGGTGGGGGTGATGGCAGAAGGGTAAAACATGGGTAACTGTGGTGTAACCCGCTGGCAGACGGTCTTTGTTATTTTGTTAATGAGTACTATATAATGAGTATGCAAATTTGATGCTGAGAGACTAGTTTGAAGCTGTAGACACGAGATTGCGGTATCGGTGTGAAATACAGTGAAAGTTTATACGAAACGAAACGAGTTCACACAAGTTCTCAAATTTTCCGATTTTTGAAATGTCTCTTATTTGAAAGACTTCGATTTTTGTCGCTTTACAGAATCGAAACACAAGAACGTTGAAAGTATAGAACCTCGTCCCGTGCTTACAACTTTTAGACGATGTGAAAGGAAGGAGACGAATTTGCGAGCAGGCCCCATCATGACTCGTGTTAGTGACTTCAGTTCGTTTTCAGACCCGATTTCTTTCTCGACAACAAGGACAAATAAGAGAAACATTCAAACCTCGAAAAATCTAACGTGTGGGATCGAGATGTATACACTACTCAGCGACGATGTAACATGGCATAGTCTCGATGTCTGAAAACAGGCGAAAATCATTGTTACACACCGAATATTTGGCCCTTTTTCGTGATCCGCACTGTTAACGTTGTATGCCTATACATGTTATCAGGGGTTAATAATGACAAATTTGTCATTATTACCTCCTGATGTTATGTTTGTATGCCTACATGTTATGTTTGTATGCCTACATGTTATGTTTGTATGCCTACATGTTATGTTTGTATGCCTACATGTTATGTTTGTATGCCTACATGTTAT